ACAAAAGCTGGAAAATCCTCATCTCTCTTCCCACTTCACTCCTAATCCACCAAAGAGCAAACACTTTTCTCTCTCACTCTCCTCTCCAAATTCTCGAATTCTCCAGGAGTTCTAAGGCTTCTCGTACACCTTGGTAAATAAATCTCTTCCCACACTTGATTTCCTTACACTTCTTCACTCAAATCATGAGTTCCTTACACAAATATCATCATATTTGTTGTTAGATCTTCGAATCTTCAAACATCATCTAAGTGTTCTTGAGTTGAACACTTCTTTTCTTCACCATCCATCTTCTGAAATCACTCAAGGTGAGTTCATACCCCTATATTTTCATGTTTTCTCACGTTTTAAGAGGGGGGGGGGGGATACAAGTTAAAACACCAAGAATATAACTAAACTCATCCAACAGCTTCCATCATAAAAGTTTAACTCCATTCACAGACTGTTTTGGTCAACTTAAACATTTTAGTTTTCAAAAATGTATTAGATGCACGTTTTTCAGGTTTATAACTTTAAAATGACTACTTACACATGTCCATACTATTTTTCTACAATTTATAGCAATTTTTACAAAACTGCCTATCACTGTAGCTACGAATTCGGATTGAATATGGACATTTTCACAAAAGTTAGAGACATCTAAAAATAATAATAAAATTTACAAACAAGCTAGACACATTTTCTAAACTCTCAGAGTTTACGGATTTAGTTTTCGACTTCGTATGATTTTTCTGTGATTTTTCTAAAACAGTGTTAACGACTTACAACTTTCATCACACTTTGTAACATGTTGAGCAAAGTGTTAATCTTTGATGATTTCATATTTTACCTGTGTTTTTCATTGTGGTATAATTATATAATAGAAAATACTCACTGATTGGTAAGATTCCTTTGTCATTAGAAATAATACAAGGTAAGGCATGATAAACATGGTTATGTTCTTACTATACATTCGACTCACATAAAATGGGGTTCATTTGCATTACAAACGTTTTGGATAAACTATAATAGGTATAATTTATGTTACATATACATTACAAACAGTTATGTTAAACTATAATAGGTATAGTTTATGTATCAATTAAATTTCAAGCTCATTACCAAAGGTTTTCAGTTCAGTCCACGTAAATCTGTTAATGAATAAATTTGTGAGACATTCGCTTCGCGCTACATCCAAAGTAAAAAAAATCAAAAGTCTTGTAAGTTGTAACCAGAGTCTCTTGTAGGGAGAACGTGATAGTTGTGTATAGATCTATATTGGGTTTGACAAACCCACACCTGAGCTGTATGCAACAACTAGACCGGCAGGTCTGGGGTGACAAGTGTCATTTAACTTGCGACGCCTGAAGAATGTCGTATTACGAGGCCGTCTAAGTCACAGTATGGTTATAATAACTCACATGGGGTATTAACAAAACATAAGATTTACGGGTTCTACTTCTAAATTTAACGAGTTTTATGTCCATTCAAACTTGCATAAATTTCTTTAAGTATGGTAAAATACTTGTACACATCGATCTTGACTTTTAAGACTACAATGCATTACATAAGGAAAATATTGGATTTTCTCGAACAAACATCACTTTTACATGAAGAGGATTTTAAGTATCACTTTCAAAAGCTTATGAACTCACCAACTTAATTGTTAACACTTTTCCAAACTACTTGTATTCTCAGGGAATAAATAAAACAAGTTATCGGCCGCTTTTGAGGATGAAATGCTAAGGCGTCAAACGTTCATTTGTTTTTGTCAACATAATGTAATTGATTTGGAAACATGTAAATATATACTATGATGTAACTTTTTCAATTATATTTATGTTGGTTGTCTATACTTTGAGCACTATTGTAATTGTTGTTATGATACTACATGTGAAGTCCTCCATCCCCGGACGTTTCCGCCATCCTTGGTTTGGGGGTGTGACATTTGGATGGTTAAACAAAGTGGATTACAACCAAATAGTGATATGTTTAAGATTTTAATTTGTGTTTATTGTTAATTAAATAGAGTTGCTTTGGGTTTTAGAGCTTTTGAATATATGAAAAGTTGTGATTTGATGTTTGATGTTTCTACAAAGAGTTTGCTTGTGAAGAGTTTATGGAAAGAAGGAAAGTTGAGAGAGGCTGCTTATGTAGAAGAAGAAAGTGTAAAGATGAATGATGGTTTTATGGGTGTGGATCTTCAAAGAGTTTATAGAGTTTATTGTGATAGTTTTCCAAATAGTGATGATAGAAAAGATCTTTAAATGCTTTCTCTAATTTGAAGAACATCTTATGTTTTTATTCTCTTTGCTAAGATTCTTATCATAGTTCAAAATCGTCTAAAAGGAAACTTGATACATAAGAAGGAGTTTGATTTTATATATAAGAAGTGTTATTTATCTTCCCATTTTGTGGAAAAAATATTGGATTTTTGCAAGTTTACAAGCATTTTTGAGTTGATAAGTCAAAAAGATCAAATTTTGACCTCAGATTGAAGAGTAGTTGGTGGCCAAATGTCAAGTAATTAATAAAGGCTACAATACAACGTGACATTTATATAAATTTTCTTGAATTGTTTACTAAAATACCCAATTAAAAAATAGAAATTTGACAAAGAATATGGATTATTTAGAAATAGATTAGAAAGAAAGAAGGATTCACACATGAGATGTTGAAAAAGAAGGAATTTTTTACTAAGGCAAGGAAAAAAATGAGGTTTCATGCTAACAACCTTTCTTATTTATATATTTGAGGTCATTTTAAATGTCGCCTTATATTTGTTGTTGTATTTATAAATGTAATCGCTAACTTGAAAATAAAATCTCTCTTGAATGAACATGATCCAATATAGGACGTGTTCGGCACGCAGCTTTTGAGAGCTTCTAGCTTTTAAAAAAACGATAGTTAAAAAGAAAAAGTCTCATTCGAAGATAGTAGCGTTTAGGTTGTAGCCTAAACAAAAAGCTTCAAAATCAAAAGCTACATGAAGTAGCTTTCAACAAAAAGCTCCAAAATCAAAAGGTACATGAAGTAGCTTTCAACAAAAAGCTCCAAAATCAAAAGCTACCCGCTACCCGTTACCAGCTACCTGCTAACCGCTATCAGTTACCCACTACTAACTAGTTTTGCCAAACACGCCCATAGTGCGATGAATGAATGTCAAAAGGAGTGTTTTCTGATGATGGTAAAATAAGTCACCTTATGGAAAGCATTAGGTCTAATTTTAAAAGAATTATAAAAAGTATTTAACGATTTATGTATTTTGTTTGGCCAAATTACCTATTAACATAATGCATTTAAATGCTAAAAGTCGGATGCTATTTCCAATATATATATATATATATATATATATATATATATATATATATATATATATATATATATATAATATATATATATTATATATATAACATGTTCCTATTTTTAGAAATTCGGTAGAAAGTACATTACTATTTCCATGCTAAATTTAAACCTGATGCATTTAAATACAAAAATTAGAGCTGACGGAAATTTTATAGAAACTATGTTGTTATTTCCATGTTAGAATTAGACTTGATGCAATTGAATGCTAAAATTAGAGCTAATGTAATTTCAAAAAAAAAAAGAATTATAAAAAGTATGTTAGATTTTTTATAAAATTATACCTAATGCTATTTCCATAAAAATTTTAGAAAGTATGTTGGTATTTTAAGAAATTCTATAGAAAGTACGTTGGTGTGTCCAAGCTAGAATTTGATCATGCCGTTTTTTATACATTTCAAATTCCCTTTATATATATATATATATATATATATATATATATATTATTTACAACAGTATTGTAAAAATCTTGATTAGATTCCGATTAGTCCCTAAGCGTTACCCGACCAAATAAAAGACGTCTAACGATTAATCATTGCTTACACAATGAGTGAGCAGTAATAAACGATGAAATTTTAACACTTTGAAGAAATTTTATCTTAATAGAAACTATCTGATGAATGATTAGTGTTGTATTAATCATATTAATCTATTTTGTTATGATATTAGTGTTATTTAAGAAACTTTGCTATGATATTAATCAAATTTAATTATTAAAATTCCACAAATTAGCAATTAAAGGTCCCTGATTAATCTCCATTTAATCGATTAATCAATTAACCCCCTTCCACTGACTAACTAACATCGATCATTTTTTACAACATTAGATTTACAGTATAAAGTTGAAGTTTCCATGGTTACAAGAAAAAATAAGAACAAAATTATTTCTTTTTCTCTATAAGCAAAATGTTTCTTATAATGCAAACCTTTTTTTTTTTTTTTTGTTTAAGATATTACATCTTGTTTCATATTTTCTACTCCTTCCTCTCTTCCATGAAAACTACAACAATTTCTAATAGATTCACTTGAGTTCAAACTAACAAGCATAAGGATCATTACAAATTTTCCAAGATGTATAAAACTTATTTTTTCTTACTAAATCATAGTACTTTGAAAAACTTACTTACTTATAGCATTGCACTTTCATTTCTCTTATTAGGAGGTTATTAGAACTGTATTTTTTATTACTTCTATTACAATATTGACAACTTTCATTTAAACATAGTCTTTTTATATAATACATGCCTACACTTAGTCGTGCTACTTAAGAATTTCCTAGTTATAATATAAAAAATTCGAGTTGTTTATATGTCACTATCAAATTTGGAGCAAATTGGACTTCTTATTTAGAGTTGGTAGGTTGGCATATTTCTTATTTGTCTTTTATAGTCGGCATCTACAAAGATGTTAAATTTTAGTTATTTGTAGGATGATCACATACACACATCAACAAAAGTTGGTTAGCTAGAAAACAAAACTTCCCTTTTATGATTTTCCTTTCATTGTTTATTTTTCAATATACATACCAAATAGAAAAAATAGAAAGAGTCCATCAATTCCAAACATCAATATTATATTTCTATTTGATTTTTGAAGTCTTTCTCGAATATACAATTATACATCTTTCAACAAGTTTTTAATTTACATCAAAGTTTAACCTACACCAAAAACAAGGTATCCGAGCTTTGTGCATCCATATGAATGATCATAAGAGTAGAAACAATCTCATTCATACTTAATCTTTTCGATGGTTCACTTTCCAAACAACCAATACTCAGTTTCACCAAACGCAGTGCAAGTTCATCTTGATCTATAACAAACCCGAGGGAATGTCTAGCTTTCAACCGAGGGTCAATAATGTAATTAACCGTACTTTTTGCATTATTTCCATCACCCATAATCGAAATAACTTCTTCACACAACATCACTTGTCCCCCATCATCATCATTCTCATACACTGCTTTTTTTCCCGTTATCAGTTCCAACAAAACAACTCCAAATGCATACACATCGGTCTTCGTTGTCACAAATCCTGCCTCTAAATACTCCGGTGCGAGGTACCCCTTCGACTCAAACCGACATTTTACGGATGAATTTACGTTTTTGCCCTTCTCTATTGATTTTGCAAGACCAAATTTTGAAATCTTGGCTCGTAGATCCTTAGTTAATAGAATATTGCTAGTGTTTATATCTTTATGAACGTATGTTGGATTCACGAAATTATGTAGATATTGAAGACCTTTAGCAACATCTAAAGCAATACGAAGACGATTATTCCATGTTTGACTTTCTTGACATCTCAAATCTTGAAGCCATTCATTTAAAGAACCGTTTTCCATGAATTCGTAAACAAGATAACAAGATTTATCGTGTTCACAAACTCCATAAAGACCAATAAGATTGAAATGATTAATTTTTTGGAGAATTTTCACCTCTTTATTCGCGTGTGTCCCCGTTTGTTTGATCGCGACTTTTCTACCCTTTATACTTCCTTTATAAACCGAAGCACTTAATCTCTTTTCGAGGGTAAATCCGTCCGTCGCCTCGTCTAATTCTTCAAATTTGTAGATTTTGAGAACTTGATCAACACTAGCAATACCAAGTTGGATATCTTTAGGCAACTCCCATTTTACGATTTTACCCTTATTCGCTCTTTTCCTTTTCGATACTAAACATATCACAAAAACACCACTAAGAATCGCCAAGAAACCACCTGATATTGTCCCTATTATGATTCCTTTCTTTGACAACTTCGGATTCCGATTCTGATTCTGATTCCGATTCCGGTTGGGTGTTCTTGTTTGAGAACTTAAAGGTTCAGTAGAGAGTGGAACAAGAAGGGTAGTAAACGGAAAAATCAAATCTTTAACAGAAGAAAACCCGTTTTCCAAAACTAAATCTTGAAATTTCACATCAAACCGTTTACTAATTTTCTTGATTGAATCTTCCCAAGTAATCAAGTAAGTCAACAGAAACCTGATTCCCGACATGGTTTGATTAACGGTAGGACACGCACATCTAAGTGGGACACGAATCTTGCCACCAACTTGTAAATCATTTTCTTTATAAATATTGTTTTTTTGGAGGGAATCGCATGTGGTTAAACCTTGGAATGTGAAATTTGCGATAGTGAAATAGTTGGTGTTAATCGGAATAACAAAAGATGTGTTAGCTCGATAGTACTTACCAGAACAAGAACATGTAACCGGAATGATTAGCTCTTTATTTAGCGGCAAGTTTTCAGCGGAATCAGTGATTCCGTTGATTCGGGCGACATTTGTGGGGTCGGTTGACATTAGCTTGGAAATGGTGAAAACTTTGTTGTAAAGAGGTTGAGTTCTGAAGATTAAGAAGCTGGAACACGATTGGATTCCGTTGCAAGTGTAGAGGAATTCCGAGGTTAGTTCTGTTGTGTTGGAATTGTTACATTCCAGAATGTGGTTTCCGGAATACGTTTGTTGAGAAACCGATTCGTGAGCCAAAAACAGGAACGGAAATAGGAACAGGAATGGATTCATGGTTGATCGGAAAGTGGCGTTGGAATTGAAACACTTTGTGAAATAATTGAAGTTTGAAATGATGATGATATTATTTGTAGAAATAGTTGTTAAACCAAAAAGGGGTGAAAAGGACTTTGAAGATACATTAATTTAGATTTTAGAGTCCAGAATTTTCCAGCTTACAAAGCTTTTGAAGTCAAATCTTTTATCTGTGTATTGAAGGATGAAATATTAAGGATACAATTGTCCTGCATACGACTGTTTCATAAGTATTTAGAATTAAAAAGGAATTAAAACGGCTGTTTTACTTATTCTGTTTTTAGTTGATACTTGAACCTCTTCTGGACCGGTTTGTCATTGAAGAGATCGGGTCAAACCGGGCTTCTAGTAAATTGGACCGGTTGTTAGACAAATAAAAAACTGAACAATTTTTAACTGGGCCCAAAAAACCAAACCTAAACCATATGTAGCAGGGTGTAATATGAACCGACTTTAAAAAAAAAAAAAATCGCTAAAATAGAAAAGTTAAATTTTTATCACTTTTTTAAACCGATAACAAGATTTTTATTTTGTTATAAAGTGCAGAAAATAAAAAATGTTGTATTTGCAAGTCTTGCTTTTGGTTTTTTTGTAAAGTCGTTGTCAAGTATTTCATTTTGACATATTTTATGCATAGCTGGTATTTGAAATTCATAAAGTAACTATATAAACAAGGTAATGTAACGAGTTATTTAATGATCATATTTGGTTAGGATGTCAAAACAAATAAGTTTCTATTTTTTTTTTTTATATTGTATGTAAATAAATGTGTAATTTTTAATTTTGCTCTACACATTATTATTAACTGTAATAAACAAACCTGTATATACAAAAATAAAATAATAAAGATAAAGAAAAGATTATTTAAAAACAAATAAGTTAAGAATCTAATTTTTTTTTTTTGTAATTATTAAAAAAAAAAACTTGATATTTAATTAAAATAATGACTATTTGTTAAATGGTTTTTTAATTTGTTTGACTAAAAATTACATCTCCCAAATGAATTATAGTGCAATTGCTCATATTGAATGAAAAAATTATTAATGACTGAAAATTAACAAAATAAAAACAACTCTAAATCTGATTTATTCTATTCTATTGTGTAAAACAAACCTTTTTGTTTCAATTCAATGAACCATTGATTTCATCTTCATTAACATTAGCGTAGTCTATAATGGAATTGAGGTCAAAATAATACTTGATTTTTGAAATTCAAAAAAAAAAAAAACTATTTGTTTTTTTTATTATTATTGTCTATTGAATAGAATTGACAATTCTTGATGGAATATGCTTCCTAGCTTCCATTTTTTTTTTTAAATTTAATTTTCTTAGGCGCATCCCGCAGGTGTCTTTCTCATTCTATAATAAATTAAAAGAGTAGTAGATTTAGAATACGCATTGTTTCTATATGTAAAATTTATTAACAAAAATTCATTAATTTATGCTTAAAATCATACTATTATTAAAGTCCCTTTCACCACCTTTTTGGTTAATTAAACAGTCCCTTTCAACACCTTTTTGGTTTGAAAACATTTCCTAATTCTTTATTCTTGATGAGTTCAATTTTCCACAAATGATATCATCATGCTTAATAGTTGTCGTTCATATTCATTTAGTCAACAAACAATGCTTCAATTCCCAGCTACTTAACTTCAATCATTTTACAAAGGGTTCTAATTCCAACCCCACTTCCCTTTTCCCATCAATCATGAACCCATTCCTGTTCCTGTTTCCATTCCTGTTCCTGTTTCCATTCCTGTTTTTCACTCATGAATCCATCGCTCAACAAACGTACTCCGGAAACACTGTTATGGATTGCGACAATTCCGACAAAACAGGACCTTTCCCTTCATTCCTCTACACTTGCAACGGAATACAATCGTGTTCCACCTTCTTAATCTTCAGAACTCAACCACTTTACGACACCGTTTTCACCATCTCCAAGCTCATGTCAATCGACCATATGGATGTTGCTCGGATCAACGGAATCACCGATTCCAACGCCATCTTGCCTCTAAACAAAGAGCTAATCATTCCGGTAACGTGTTCTTGTTATGATCAATACTATCAGGCTAATACATCTTTTGTTATTCCCACTTTTTATGACACGTATTTCACTATCGCAAATCTTACATTCCAAGGTTTAACCACATGTGATTCCCTCGAAAAATATAATGTTTATGATCGACTTGATTTGCATGCTGGTGACAAGCTTCATGTCCCGCTTAGATGTGCGTGTCCTACGGTTAGTCAAACCAACGACGGAATCAGGTTTCTGTTGACTTATTTGATTACTTGGAAAGATTCGATCAAGAAAATTAGTAAGAGGTTTAATGTAAGTGTTCATGATTTAGTTTTGGAAAACGGGTTTTCTTCTGTTGAAGAGATTTTTCCTTTTACTACCCTTCTTGTTCCTCTATCTACCGAACCTTTGAATTCTCAAACAAGAACACTCGGCCGGAATCGGAATTGGAATCTTTCAAAGAAAGCAATCATAGCTGGGGTGTTATCAGGTGGTTTCTTAGCGATTCTTTGTGGTGTTTTTGTGATATATTTAATATCGAAAAGAGAAGTGAATAAGGGTAAAACCGTAAAATGGGCGTTGCCTAAAGATATTCAACTTGGTATTGCTAGTGTCGATCAACTTTTTAAAATCTACAGATTTGAAGAATTAGAGGAGGCCACGGACGGATTTACCCTCGAACACAGATTGAGTGCTTCGGTTTATAAAGGGAGTTTAAAGGGTAGAAAAGTCGCGATTAAACAGATGGGATCACACGCGAATAAAGAGGTGAAAATTCTTCAAAAATTTAATCATTTCAATCTTATTGGTCTTTATGGAGTTTGTGAACATGATAAAGCTAGTTACCTTGTTTATGAGTTCATGGAAAATGGTTCTTTAAACAAATGGCTTCAAGATTTGAATTGTCAAGAAAGTCAAACATGGAATAATCGTATTCGTATTGGTTTAGATGTTGCTAAAGGTCTTCAATATCTACATAATTTTGCGAATCCAGCTTATGTTCATAAAGATATAAACAGTAGTAATATATTACTTACTAAGGATCTACGCGCCAAGATTTCTAAATTTGGTCTTGCAAAGTCAACGGAGAAGGGCGAAAATGTAAATTCATCCATAAAATGTAGGTTTGAGTCAAAGGGTTACCTTGCACCGGAGTATTTAGAGGCGGGATATGTGACAACCAAGACTGATGTCTATGCATTTGGAGTTGTTCTTTTGGAATTGATAACAGGAAAGAAAGCTGTGTATGAAAATGATGATGATGGAGTAGAAGTGATGTTGTCTGAAGAAGTTGCTTCTATCATGGGTGATGAAAAGAATGGAAAAGGAAAGGTTAATTACCTTATTGACCCTCGGTTGCAAGCTAGACATGCCTTTGGGTTTGTTATAGATCAAGATGAACTTGCATTGCGGATGGTGAAACTAAGCTTGGGTTGTTTGGAATCGGAACCATCAAGAAGATTAAGTATGAATGAGATTGTTTCCACTCTCATGATGATTCAAATGGATGCACAAAGCTCAGAAAACATATTTATGGTGTAGAATTTTAAGATTGATTCATTAGTTGTATCTATTGAGCCTTTGGGAATAACAAATTGTATGTAATAGTCAAAATTATGATGTAAAAAACTTGTTGAATTGTGTGTATTCAAGAAACAACATCAACAATCAAATAAAAGAAAGTGCTTGAATCATGTAATTATACAATTAACTAACCATTTTAAGAAAAGAAATTACCATCAAAAGATGCTTAATAACTGCAAGACATACGGCTAAAGTTGAAATTGTATATACTCAATTTAAAGTACATGAAATTTACATGCAAGGAACAAACTTTTTGCTTTGCCCCGGATTCATCACTAATGTTTTTTTTTTTTTTTTTTTTTTTTTTTTTTTTTTTTTTGCAATAAACTCTTAATGTATTATTTTACCAGTTAAATAAGGTAATTAACCAATTTCATTCCGGTGTCCAAGTTGCATTTAGTCTAGGTATCATTTTTGTATTTTTTTTTTCAAAATAAAAAATTAAACTAACAAAAACGTGGGTTTTCCTTTCATTTTTTTTTAATAAAAATCCCTTGTGAGCAATCTCCTTCTCCATTCCCAGTACTAACCCTAGTCGGTAACTCCTTTATAAACAATCGCCGGTGCCTTTCTTTTCAACCTTCTCTAGCAACTCCTTCACGAACCATCTTCGGCGACTTTCATCGCAACCATCTATAGCGTGTTTGTGTTTGCTTATATCCTTGTGCTCACCATTATAGATCTCTCGCTTCATTTAAATCAAGTTCTCCTTTCCATCAACGCAAGTTCATGAGAGGGAAGGGAACCAACATTGTCGGATTTGGCCCCGGAAAGAAAAGGGAGGCGGTTGGGGAAGAGCTTTTGCTCGTAACTACAAACGATCTATTTCATAGCTTAAAAAAGACTTGAAATTAAGGTGTGTAAAGTGCATTCACAAACCATCCTCGAGTATTGAAGATCACAAGTAGTTATATAAAGTGAAGTGTGAGAATTTTGAGAATCCTGGTGTTTGGTACCGTAGATCTTCTTCTCGACTCCATGGATTCCATCGAACCCTTTAGTATTCAATTAATCTAATTTTCTTTAGCTGGATTTTTTGAAGTTCTAAACTTCATCTCTTTGTTCATCTTTTTTTAGATTTAGAGTTTATTTTGGTGTGTTCATCTGATGTACTTTTTCTTATGGATTTTTTTAAAGCTCTGAACGTCATCTATATCTTCATCTTTTTCTGGATTTGATGAGTTCATGATGGGTCCTTGCAGGAATTTCCCTTTTAGTCTATCATATTACAAAAGTTTTTGATTTTTATTATTTCGGTTTCATGTTATCTTTAGTGTTTAAGGTCCATATTTAGGTGATAGAGGTTGAAACTAGAGGAGAGAAAGAGAATTTTTGGAGGGAGACACCGGGAGAGACTTTGAGTCCAAATAAA